TTTTATGATATATCACTACAGAGGAACATCAGCCATTCTTGTATTGAACATCAGCCATACTTGTATTGAACATCAGCCATTCTTGTGTTGAACATCAGCCATTCTTGTATTGAACATCAGCCATTCTTGTGTTGAACATCAGCCATTCTTGTGTTGAACATCAGCCATTCTTGTATTGAACATCAGCCATACTTCTATTGAACATCAGCCATTCTTGTGTTGAACATCAGCCATTCTTGTGTTGAACATCAGCCATTCTTGTGTTGAACATCAGCCATTCTTGTATTTATATAAATTTATTATTATTCGTAACTATCAAGGTTTCTAGACACAACCGAACAACCCATCAGTTGGCTCAGCTGTAAGTCTGTGGACTTATAACGCTAGAAACTGAGTTTCGATATCCGTGGTGGACACAACAGAGATAGCCCATTGTGTAGCTTTGAGTAAAACTAGAAACAATTAAACACAACCAAACAAATTTGTCCATAATAACTCTATAGAAAAAATATATAAAACAAAGTACACTAAGTATAACAATGGCTGATGTTCAATACAAGAATGGCTGATGTTCAGTATAAGAATGGCTGATGTTCAGTATAAGAATGGCTGATGTTCAATACAAGAATGGCTGACGTTCAACACAAGAATGGCTGATGTTCAGTATAAGAATGGCTGATGTTCAATTCAAGAATGGCTGATGTTCAAAGCTTTACTTCTTACTTTGGTGCTAAAACTATTTCTCATTGAGATTCCTTGTTGGAAGAAATGTTGATGAAATGTATTGTCATCCTGAATGTTAACCGGTTACCTCTAGACACCACCTGTTAACTGATTAATTCAAGATAAAACCTGTTAACTGGTTACTCTTAAACAATACCTGTTGACCGCTTACCTCTAGACACCACCTGTTAACTGATTACCTCAAGATAAAACCTGTTAACTGGTTAATTCTAGACACCACCTGTTGACCGCTTACCTCTAGACACCACCTGTTAACTGATTACCTCAAGATAAAACCTGTTAACTGGTTACCTCAAGATAAAACCTGTTAACTGGTTACTTTTAAACAACACCTGTTAACTGATTACCTCTAGACACCACCTGTTAACTGATTACCTCAAGATAAAACCTGTTAACTGGTTACTTTTAAACAACACCTGTTAACTGATTACTTTAAGATAATACTTGTTATCTTCTTACTCCAAGACATCACATGTTAACTAATTACTTGTAGATATCACATGTTAACTGATTACTTATAGAAATCACCTGTTATTTGCGTACTTATAGATATCACCTGTTGTCTATATTATTATTATTTTTGTAGACATCCGTATTCCATAATTTGTTTGACTGGTTTGTGTACGAAAGAATAAAACATGTTTCTTGGAATTTCCCCCATTTGTAAAACTTAAAACGATTTAATTTAGCTGTGATTTAAGTATTTAAGTATTAATAAACGCATATTCCACCCGTAGCTTACAAAAATTCATTCATCTGTGTATGTTAAAGAAGACCTAAACGCTTGTTGTATCTTCGTTATAGGGGGCGCTTGGAATAATAATCTTTATCTCGTAGTTTTAGTTATTCGTTCAATAGTAATCACTTACTTTGCTCCGCCTCCTTATAAACTGAAGAAAGAACCGAGTCTTTTCAAACAGTCAAGCCCAACTCGTGGTCACGCGTCGCTTACCTGGAGTAATGTTCCACCTCTATACGCGAGAGGGCGCTTGCGTCGATGAATTGCGTAAAATAACGTGTGTGAAAGTGCGCGAGATTCCCAAGATAGTGACGGTTTAGTTGACACAGTGACCTGTAGTCAGACAAGAGCATTAGGACAAGGTCTAGGTCGTCTGCTGCTCAGCTTTAGGTACGTTCATGCCAATTTCAAACTACTGCAGATAAAAAGTAATAATCGTTCTTCGAGATCCGTTTTTCTGAAGTATCGATTTCAGGTTTTCTTTATATATATATATATTAGTTTATCATATTTGGAATCAGTATAGTTGAATTAATGTGATATTATATTTACTTAAGACAAAACATCGTGTTTTTTTCCCCCCATTAAATTTGTTATCTTTAACATCAATTTATCGCAGAATTTTTTACAGTAATGATTAAACTTTTTAGTGAAATACCAATTTCTTGTGAGGATGTCTTTAAATGAGAACTCAAGATGCTTTTAATTAAGTCAAGATATCGGAATTTTCGTTAACATGTGTAAACATTGCAGAAAATATTCAAAGATTTATTTCTTAAAAAAGAACCACATTTAAATAAGTTCATATAACGCAATTTCAAAATTATGTATACAAGATTGTAAATAAACATTTTTAAGGGCTGTCTGTAAAAGAAACGGTATTTAAAAGCCAAAAAAGTTGGTTATAACTATATTTGTTTTTGTTTTTTTAAACAGCCGATGTAGCTTACAATAAAATAAAGCTCACGGGGATTTTCAATGCCAATTTTTGCAGTAGCTTCAAATCTAGCCTGAAGATGGCAGCAGTGCAGTAGTTGTAAAAGTGTCAGGATAGTTTATTCTAGTTACCTAGAGTATTCATGCCTGGCGATAACAAAGGAAGTCTGAAAGTTCAAACATGCTGTCATGCTTTAATAAAACAAATAAATAAAAAAAAACGTATCAAACTTAGAATATCGTGTTTTGCTTCTCTCTGAACGACACGAAGTAATGCAGAATGTGAGCGCTCTGGTTCGTGGCTATAATCTGGGACTTCTTCTTAAACACGTGTATGTATACAGACAGGACTTTAAGTAATCATCTGCTTGTGTGTGGAAATAATACGTTTTACTGCTTGTGACGTTATAACACAGGTTATTTTTTGTATCTATGGTAAACAGAACATTATTTGTGAAGTGGTTGGACGCTTAAGAGGAACTTTAGACGTGTATCTTATTTCAAAAGGTATTACTTGTGTTAGGAGTGTGAATATTGTACATCAGAACTTGAAACAAAGAGATTTTTCTTACTCTACAATTAAGTTTCGACGTAGAAAAAGTTGCCTACAGATGGTTCTAGAAAATAAAACCCGGATGTTAAACACTTAAACAGGATTCAAACTAGCCTTCCATTCATCCATCGTAACTGTTAATTTATTACTTAAAATTAAATTTCCGATGTTTTTTTTGGTGCTTTACGTTCTGCTAATTCAACCCTTTGGATTACGGCTGCGGTTCAGCGGTAAGCTTGACGGAGCTGAAACGCTACAATTCATGGTTCGATTCATATCCTAGTTTTTACTTAAAAATAGAGACACGGAAAACTTTACTTTTTTTTTTTGTCAAACACCTTTTGGCCACACCCCTCTTTCTTAGATTCTCATTGCTAGTCAGTGTAGGTGTTTCTAACGATATTAACTTTTTTCTTTCCTTCAAAAACCGCCCCCCTCCAGTGGCACAGCGGTATGTCTGCGGACTTACAACGCTAGAAACCGGGTTTCGATACCCGTGGTGGGCAGAGTACAGATAGCCCATTGTGTAGCTTTGTGCTTAATTCCAAACAAACCTTCAAAAACTAAATTCAATGAAACTATTTTCTTTGTTTATTTGGTAAACGATGGATCAAGTGCTATCGTCTATTGGAAATGATTGACAAGCATCTGGACGATTTCTACTTTCAATAAGATAGATTTAAACCTTGATTTTTACTATTCACAACCATGATTCTTGTACTCTATTAGAGGTGTTCTAAAAAGAACGTTTCATAATCCATGTTCTATGAAACGCCTAGAGGCCCTGTATGGGAGACGAAATCGAACAGCTTGAGAAAAGTGACGTTGAACCACACCAACTGACAATGAGACGGTAGAGGGGTGATTTAGAGCCCCTGCAGGTAAAGCTACGTGACAACCAGTGTTTAAAGAACTATTTATCGCCATAGTTACGGTGAATCAGGCTCTTGAGCTTAAATCATCACAGAAAGCTTCGAATGTTCTAAAACAACTGTTTTAAATCAGCGCGTTCCCACGCTATCACGTGTACGAACACTAGAGGGAGGGAAGACCTTATGTTTTTGATTGTATGTGACGAGCGTTTGTACAGTTAAATGTCTTTCAGGGGTAAATAAAGAAAAGAAAGAGAAAATTATTTATATTTCTAACTTTCACCAAATAGATTAAAAACATTTAGTATTGTTTTTTTTTTATATGGTTTCTTTCACCTAAGTTTACATCAAATATGGATTCAGTGAACTTGTGAATTTTGTTTGTATTTCTCAAACTAAAAATCATGTTTTTAAACTAATAATAAAAGAACAAAATTTTGTTCTCTTTAATTTACTTAATTAGCGTGTTGTTTTGTTGTTTTTTTTCATTTTCTGTCTGCCACATAAATAACTATTTAAACAATATTGTAAACGCCTTGTGTGAACATGAATGAATTGACTTGTCCAGTGGTTCAGACGTTTTATACTTATCAGTGTCGTTCATTTGTTTCAGGTACCTCATAAAACAAAAAGAACAATGCCACAATGGTGAATTTGCTAAGCCTTAACAGTCTTTGGAAAAAAGTGATTTTCTTGATTCTTCAATTTGCTGGAACCCTTCAATCAACCATGAGCGAATTTTTTCCAACAACAGAGGATAACGTGGTTAATTGGACAATATATAATAAACATTTCCAGCCTTGTGATGATCTTGAATGTCTGGAAACAAATATCGATCGTACCTCCAGCTTGTGGTATCGGGATGAAAAATGGGCAGTCCCACTTTTAGTGGTATCTTCAGTAAACATCTTATTTATAGGGTGTTTTGAGGTATTTGTACTGTGCAAGGCTAAAGGAACAAACCCTAGCCGGAGGCATCTTGTTCTGGGACAACTTCTTCTGTTCGGGCTTCTTCTTTCTTCTACACTCGGATATGTCTTTGCTGCTGGTCCAACTTGGTTTACTTGTGGCGTGATCCGTCTCGGATTAGGCCTAACTTACACCTTGGTATTTGGAACTCTGCTGGTGAAAACAGTTTTCCTGCACAGCCTCCATACCGGAATTTACTTACCAGCTTTGTATCAGGCCCTTTTACTCTTCTTCGTCCTTCTTGTTCAACTGGCCATAGGAATCCAGTGGTTGGTGCAGAGACCTCCTGCAGTGATTGTCGATCAGGCCGGGGCGACCACTTGCAGCACAAATATTATCAATATGTTGCTTACGCTTGTTTACAACGCCCTCCTGATTCTTTGCGTCGCTGTTCTTGCTATTAAATCCAAACAAAACCCCGAGAATTACCGAGAATCAAAGTTTATTGGTATTGCCACAGGCCTGTCGATGTTACTCTGGGTAGTCTGGATACTGGTGGCTCTGTCAACTCGTTCACCCGACCACGATGCTGCCATGGGGTTTGGTGTGGTTTTCAACGCCATGATCATCTTTTTGGTGGTGTTTGTGCCCAAAGGTCGCCAACTAGCTGCCCTAGGAAACGACTGGCCAGATGTTGAGGAGAAAGGAGTATTATCCACTCCCAGCCCATCGTACTGCAGCCCTTCGTTTCTGCACATCAAACCTCCCGTGATGCCCTGGAGCCAGAACTTGAAGCCACCAAATAAAGGTGAGTAAGAAGTCCTTACTAGTTCTTTCAAAGATCATTACCGGTTCAAGAATTTAGTGAAAGGTGAGTAAGAAGTCCTTACTAGTTCTTTCAAAGATCATTACCGGTTTAAGAATTTAGTGAAAGGTGAGTAAGAAGTCCTTACTAGTTCTTTCAAAGATCATTGCCGGTTCATGAATTTAGCGAAAGGTGAGTAAGAGGTCCTTCTTTCAAAGATCATTGCCGGTTCATGAATTTAGCGAAAGGTGAGTAAGAG